AAAAAAAAAAATCTTGGCTGTGATTTCTATGGAGGTAGAAAAATTCTGTCCCTACATTGAAGCACCCAAACAGCAAGATCTACCCACCTTCACTTTGTGTGCAGGAGGCCTAAATCGCCACTAGAGTCTAGAATTCATGTTGATCCAGTTTAGTATTTCTAGAATATTGTCATTTTTTAAAAAAAAAAAAAGTTTTCTAATCATTTTAATTAAGAAGGTCTCTATATTTTAGAATTCTTCAGTGTGGAAGCTGGCCTGGACTGTAAGTATGGAACAGTGACCTTCCAGATAGGTTTAAGTAAATCCTCCAGCCCACAAAAATGTCGTCATTATTCATAAATCTAGAATATTATGGCATGAAGAAGCATGTTCTTGGTGTCCAGGCACCAGCCACACCTTGCCTTTAAATTTAGTGATATTCTTCCTGGGATGTCACCCTTCTTAATTCCCTAAGAGCCTGATAGCTGTCTGTTTGGAGGAAGCAGTGCCAGTTTTACTGAAGTGTTCTTCCAGCAGTATCTTCTGTTACYGCGTTTAGTAGAAGGTACACCATTAAACTGGTGAACTGAGAACTTAATTTGATTTTGGTTAATATTTATTGTGTGCCTAAAGCATTCCTCAGCACCCTGAAAAACCTATTTACAAAAGTTAAATATTTAAATTATGAAAAGTGGACATACTGGAGAAAGGATAGCCTGTGTTGCCTTTTCTGTCTCTGGGGCTTAAAGAAGAAGCCATATGGGTGCTATCAGTTTCATATGCATTTGATTACTTTGTTGAACAAATAAAAGTTAAGACAGAACAATGTAGGGAACTGTGAGTTAGGATCAAAGCATAATAGAGAGCCTTTCGAATTTTGTGGAGAAAAGGATGATATCAATGAAAAGATGCTATTTATTATGTATAACATACATTTATATATATTTACAGAGTGTCAAAATTTAAAGAATAAAATGTGTGTGTGTGTGTTGCTAGGGGATTGAACCAGGGCCTTGCACTGAGTTATACCCCCAGCCTAAAACTCTTTTAAGATATAATTTTATTTTGAGTTTGTTGGGAAATGAGGTAGTGATATTTTATCTGAGTTTAGGGAGAATCCTAAGCTGGGAGGAGGAGGAAAGAAAGAAGTTTTGACATTCTCTAGTGTTATTTTTATTGGAAGTCACCCTTAAAAAAAAAAAAAAGAAAAGAAAAGAAACAGATTTAAAATACTTAGTTTTTACCAGAGGTAGTTAACATGTGTCAGTATAATTGTCCTCCCTGTTGGAAGCAACATGGCTGGTAAAGTGAAAAGAACACCGTGGTCAAAGGACTRCCCAGCTGTCTCCTGTTTAACCTGTCTGTGAAATGGGGGGACTAGCTTGAATTAGCTTTCAAGTCTTATTTTGCTGTGAAATTATTTTGCACCTGGAAATATTTCTGATCATTGTCTACTAGAAGAAAATATAAGTTTGTGGTTCTCCTAGCCAGTGTTAGGAAAGATTTTGAACTAGCTACTCATTCCTTCCATGTTTGAAGATGTTTTATAATTACTTCTGTCTTCACTAATGTTAAACAACATTGGGCAACTCCAAATTATTAATGATAATTGTTCATCACACAATTAATCACATGACAGGTACTTAATCTATACCCACCCTAAAGTAGTAATTTCTGGTACCACTTTAGGTAGAACTTTTTTTGTTGTTAAGTCACACACTACAGAGATGGGAAAAGGCAGATATTATATTAACAACATAACAGAAATTCATGTGAAAAGGAAAACTAGTCTGAGCTTTGTTTGTTTCTAAGTGACCTCAAAAATAGACTTAATTGAATTAGTAACTATTTTTTTTTTTTGGTTGAACATTGATCTCATCACATGTATTTACTGAGAATAAAGTGGAAATAAAAGAAGTTACAGATTTGAGAATATTCTGGAAGCATCATCATACCTTTAGTAGTTATCTCTAGAAAGTTCTTGCTATCTTACCRCCACAAACTATACCTATATTTATCGATTTATCTGTCCAAGACATTTTGCAGTCCTACCGAGATAAAACACAATGATCTTAGATTATTGGAAAATTCCTACYTAATTCACTTTTTAATCCTATCAACACTTTTGATTCTAAGATTTCCTGTCTCTTATTAAAAATATTATGATTGTMTCTGCTTCAAGGAAATACTTGTGTGATCTTGATGATTTCTTTGTTAGATTTTGGGATACTATACAAATTTCTGCCACATATACTTAGGATTGTCTGCCAAATTCCCAGGGTGTCTTTTGATACAGATATTTATGCAAGATACACAGAGTAACATGCAACATCTTGTTCATAATTTGGAGTGGTTTTCCAAATAAAAAGAGAATATTTAACTGGTAATTTGTCAAAATTACTATATATGTTTGTTTTAACAGAAAAAAATGGCTCATATTGTCTTTATAGATATGATGATATGTTAGTGGTACCTATTATTGAGAACACACCTCAAGAAAAAGACCTCAAAGAACGAATGGCCCGTGCAATGAATGAGTACCCCGACTCCTGTGCAGTCCTGGTCAGGCGCCATGGAGTGTACGTGTGGGGAGACACATGGGAGAAGGCTAAAACCATGTAAGTGTAAAAACATTTGGGATAAGTCACCACACCCTGAATGTGAAAATGAACAAAAAAATGTCTCAATTTAAAATGAAGGATGATTGTCATGTTTCATTGGTCAAATAGGCTTAAATTTAAAGGGTTTATCATTATATCCAGATATTTGATTTTTACTATGTATTGATTCATTGAGAATTCTTTATTGGATGAGCCATTATTTGGGAAGGCTCTGTGGACAGAAGAGGAAGGAGACGCAGATCCTAAATATATTTTATTTCAAAAAATAGCACACAGTATAAATTTGTGTAAGTAGTATGTTTAAAAATCTCTTTTATTTCCTGAGAACTATATGACATGGTTGCCTGATTCAATATGATTCCTTTACATGTTTTTAAATTGTTGTTTTTAAATAGTTTTTTAAATGTTCTGATTTTTGCCCTCAAACTGATAGGAAAAATTTGCAGGTACTAGGAAGAAAGCAGAGTTAACTGGACAGAAAGGAGAGATGTGGTTATTTAAGTTTGGAGAACTCCATTTCAAGTAAACACCTTCATTTTTTCTTTTTTCTTTTTCTTTTACAGGTGTGAATGTTACGACTATTTATTTGATATTGCTGTATCAATGAAGAAAGTAGGACTTGATCCCACCCAGCTCCCAGTTGGAGAAAATGGAATTGTATAAGCCAAACAAAAGTTTAATTATACAGAGATTAAACTAAACTTAATTATTATTTAAGTGAAACAATTAGTTTTAAATGAATTGAAATTTTCCAAAAACACCATTGATTTATCACTAAATGCTACAGATGATCATATTTAATCTCTTCTGACATTGAATAATATTTGCTCATATTCTTGTAATTTAAATGACAGGACAGTGGAATAAAAATTTTTTACTCAGTGTTTTTTATGTGTAAAATTTSTGATAGCAAAATATTTGTCTATAAATTAATGCCTTTTTATATGCATTCAGAGAATTCCTTTTAATATTTAAAGCTGCTGGTGATAACAGAATTCATGGTAAATTTTCATTTAATTATGAAATGAGCATTTTCTTGATTTAATGTTGGTATATAAAATTTATGTGAAACATTAAGACCTAATATATCCCCCATATTTTATGTCAAGACAGTTTTATAGATCTCACCCATAAACTTGAGCATTTCACTATACAGACTCAGCAGCCATAATCAGAAAGTYCAAAATCCAAAACTTTTTGAGCACAGACATTTACCAGAGGTGAGAAGTTCTATAGCTGATCTCCTGTGACTGGTCATGGTCTAAACACAGGTGCACTAAAAATACTAAAAACACTGTATAAAATTGCCTTCAGGACAAATTGTATATGAAAYATAAATCAATTGTGTGTTTAAACTTGGGTCCCATCCCCAAGACATCTCATTGTGTATATGCAAATATTCTAAAGTCCAAAATACTTCTGGTCCCAAGCATTTCAATTAAGAATACTCAGCCTGTAWTAGAATATAGGACACCCTCTTATATTAAGAACAATTATGAAATTCAAGTCAGATGACATTAAGTCCAGTTTTTTACCAAACAAACCCGGACAAAACCACAGATGCAATTAATCAGAAAATGCTCCTTTTTTTTTTTTTTAAATGGTGCCAGAAGGAMTATCACCTTAATTATAAAGGTCTTATTTGGTTAATACTTTTTACATTTAAGGGAGAAAATCAATAATGCACCATCTCTGAAATGTTAATGTCGTATTCCCACTGCTCCCCATGATCATCTCCCACCCGTCAAAGATGGTTTACCCAGATCTTCCCAGCCAGCCATTCTCTAACCTCACAGATGTCCAGTCCTTGCTTTTACCATTTTTCATTACCCTTTACTCTTTTCATGTCCTTGCTTCCTTCCTTGTGAGGCACCCAGTATTCACACCACTTCACTGAGGACATTCCAAGCCCCTTGTATCCTGCTTCCTCAATCATATTCACCTGGAGAAGACCTCAGTGTCTTTGTTAAGCCACTTATTTAGCACCTGTACCCACGTAGCAAGGACTGGTGAGGGAAATTATATAACCATGATGAATCAGACCATAGATCACAGAGGGGGCACTGGATACCATAAACAAACCTACCACAATTCCCTACTGAATTCATTTGCCCAGTCTGTTGATTATTTGTCTTTACCTTTCCTTTTCTTTAGTCCAATCTCCCAACATTCTCTCACACCAACTCTCAGGTGACAACTTCACCTTATATTTGAAAAGGTGAAATAGGTTCATTCCGAGGGAACTAACTCATTGCCCCACTTCACACTTCTGCCACCCTTCCTGCCTGCAGCCACCATTGCCAATTTCCTTCCACAGGTTTGGTTCTAAGATTCATTCTTCCACTTATGCCTTSGACCCTTTGTCTTTAGATTTTTTTTTCAAGGGATTTGCTTCAGTCAAGATCTCTACATTTATCTATCTCTACATGATTCTCTTTTGTATTGTCAGGTATTTTCCCCCAACTGTGTCTTTTTTCAGTTTACATAAAAACTTGCTCTTAATGTCTTCCACTTTAMAATACTTCCAAGTTTTGCCTTCTACCCCAGCAATTTTATTTTACAACAAAGTTTTTWAAAATAATTGTTCCCTCCTACCAATTTTTTTGCCCCTACTTGGTCCTTGATTTTTTCCAAATAGGCCTCTAATCTCCACTGAAACCACTCTTACGAAGAGCAACCAAATCTCCCACATTCTCATGTTTCGCCTAAAGACAGTTTCCCTTGAGGATGAAGTGGCTGTTTCCACTTCTTCCTTTACCACTGGGCCTGGGGCTAAGATGAATGAATTCTTTGAGTGCTAAATGTCTCCTTTCCCTTGTTCCACTGTACTCAGCAAAACTCTCATTCATAGTTCCAGCTGTTTTCTGACTCCACACTTGGACATATGCATCTTGATGTATTGGGGGGGAAAAAAAACCTATGTTAATGTCAAGTGGATCTTAAATGCTGCCAGGGAATTTTACCTTACTGCCCTTGTCTAGTCTCATTCTCCCATTTTTTCAGGCAACTGTTTCTCGATTTTCAAACTTGAAATACCTCCCTACATACTCAATCTGGGCTGTTGACCTCGACTGCTGTTTCACTTTCAAAAAAAAGTCATCAGTCATCAACTTCTACAGGCTTCCCACCTCTGCATGTGCCTTGCAGCACAGGTGAGCTTTCCTCGCTGCCCACTGAGGCCAGACKCCCCCTCTCCTGTTCAAAGACATCATTGAAGCAATTTCTTCCTCCTCACGTATCATCAGTTCTGTTCTCTCGATCTTGTTTTTCCTTTAGCGTATTAAGTATGTTGTCCTCCAAAGTCTCAAACCCACTTTCTAGATATGGCCTCATTTCTCTGCTTTTGTCTCCAGAGTTTCTTGAAAGAGTCACTATAGGGGCTGAGGATGTGGCTCAAGCGGTATCGCGCTTGCCTGGCATGCGTGTGGCCCGGGTTCGATCCTCAGCACCACATACCAACAAAGAAGTTGTGTCCACCGAGAACTAAAAAGAAAAAATAAATAAATATTTATCCTACTCTTGAATTCACTCCAATCAGACTTTTGCCTGAACCACTCTACTGTGACTGTCATCACGGCCTCTGACAATGATTACATTGCCTGATCCAGTGACAAATCACGACACTGGTTTTCCACACAGTGCTAGTGCTACAAAGTCAAGGGTATCTCATGCTTTCGTCATTGTGTAACTTTCATCCTCACTTGATGATCTCATCTAGTTTCACAGACCTAAACACAATATGTGCTCCGACAACTCTTAGTGTATGTATCTTTAGCCAATAGTTTTCCCAATCTCCAAACTCAGCTTTTTTTTTTTTTTTTAATGTCATCAGAGGAATGTTCAGTAGACACCTTAATACATACAAAACCAGTTCCCATTTCCTGAAGCCTTTCCTTGGCTCAGTTAATGGTAACCATCTTTACAATCACTCATGGTTAATAATCTTGGTGTAATGCTTAATGTTTTTTTTTCACACACTATAGCCAGCTAATCAGCATACTCTTTCAGTTTTACATTCAAAATACATTTGATTGATAAAGTTTTTAGTGCATTCACTGTTACTACTTGGGCCAAAACCCTCCATTTTTCATTTAAATTATGCCAGTTGTCTCCTAATCAATTTCTATGCTTCAGCCCTTGTCCCACCACCCCTGCACCCAACAGTCCGTCATCAACACCAATCTACATGATCCTGTTACCATGGAGGTCAGCCAGTGTCACTTCTCCACTCAAAACCCTAGCTTCCTGTCTCTAAGCAAAGGCTCAACCGTCTTCCCTCTCCTATTGCTTCATTCAGTTACCTTTCTCATTTACTCTACCCTGAGCACTCTGAAAGCCTGAATCTTCACACTTTCCAGGCATTTTTTTGTACATTTCCTTCCATTTTTTTAAATGCTCTTCATCCAAACACCCATGTAGCTCCCTCCCTACTCATTCACATCTTCAAATGCATCCGACTGCCATATTTGAAATCACAACTCCTGCCCACACAAAACTCTCCTTCCCTGCTTTAGTTTTCCATAGCCAACTAACATACTATTATTTGTGTCTTTCAATAGAATGCTAATCCCATGAAGGTAGGACTCTTGTGTTTGTTCAGTGTGTATCCATCCCTACTCCCTCAGGTAGTGTTTGGATAGAGGAAAGCCAGTTGAGTTCACTTTGTTGGAACTCAACAATATTTGTTGAATGAAAGACCACATTTTTGTCAAGAACAGGATATATTCTGCTCAATTTTTCAGCTGTATTACTAGTGATTACTCTTTCCTGCAAATGTTTCTCTCCATGTTTCCATGACTCCAAACTCCAATTTTCTACTTACATTACTGGTCACTTCTGTGAGTCTTTCCTTGACTGTTTCTCTTTTATCAGACCTTGAAATGTGGAGGTCCTCAGGATCTGTCCTTGACCATGTTCACTATACTTTGTTTTCCTAGTGAATCTCATTTAGTGCTTTTAAATACCACCTCTCTGTTGATGATTCATGGTGTTTTATCTCTGACCTACATGTCTTCTCCACGTTCCAGTTATTCCCAGCTCTTACTCCGCATTTTTCTTTGGATATCTAATATCTACCATCTTAAACTTACTATGGTCAAAACAGCACAATTGATTTTTCTTCCCTATAAGCCATTACTTCACCCCACCTCCAAACACTTTCTAGATGATTATGCCAAAAATTTCCTTGAGACAGACTTCATCTTGTTCAGTACAACCAACAAAAATGCCTGCCACCATTGTAACAACTCCATAAAAATGTTTATTTTCTGGATACTTAGTGGAAGTTCCTCTACTAGGGAAAAATATTTGGATTATTCTTGTTTTGACTTCATTTTCCTTACTTTTAAAGCTAAGAATGAGATAAAAATATGTGAAGAGACAAACCATAATATTTGGGCCATGGTAGGTGTTCAATAAATCTTAGTTAACTTCCTTTCTATAAATTCCATTCAATCTTCATGATCATTCTTAAGATTAGATTAAGAGGAACTTCACATAATTATCTTGTGGGATCATGAGAGTCTTTTGATGTAGGTATTATTATCATTTTTTAAGATGAGGAAATTGAAGCTCAGAGCAGGATAATTATGTAGAATTTAAATAAGGGAAAGCATCTGAACTTTTTAATACAATACCTGTCTTATGGTAGGTATACAATCCAAATATAAGCTTCCTTTCCTAAGAACTCCTTGCCCGGTTATCTTCCGGCTCGCTGTTATTCACAAAAATCATTTAAGCCACGTTGCA